AAAAAAAAATGATATAAACCCACATTGTCTCTAGGCAATGTTTGTATTAGAGGTTTAGATTGATGAGATGCTTGGATCTTATTGTTCTAAATATGTGTTTCAGTTGGTGCTCTCGGACTCACCATGTGAAGAAAATGAAATGTAAGTAAATAGCTAGAAGCTTCATATTTTTATTTAGCATTTTCAAAATTCAAAGAGTAAAAAAATTCAAAAAATTTGAGAAAATCCATGTTTTTCAAATAATTATAATAACCCAAAGAAGGAAATGAATTTTACATGCAGGTGGCTTAAATTTTCTAAAAAGAGTGAAGATGCACTTCCATTACGATCAGCTTTTAAATAAATACATAATTTTTTTAAATGCCTAGTTGATTTCTAGTTTTTTTTTTTTTTTCTTACTGCATTCCCAACCCAGGAGTTTTCAAGGATTCTTTAAGTTCATAAAAGATCACTATCTATGGCTGCATAACTATGTCAGAATAATGATGGCTGGCAGTTTACTGGATAATTAAGTTTCAAATAAAAGCAAACTAAGAAAAATTCTAACCTGGGTTCAGTGTACAATTTAAAGTGCTTTTGAAATAAATTATGTGACTAATTGACTCCATTTTCTTACTTTTTATGCAGTAGACTTAATGGTTCTCAGAATTCTATTCAGGAGATGTGGTGAAGGTGCCATTAATAATGCTGCTACTGATGAATGATGTCTGTAATGCACTGTGACTTAGCGCAAGTGTTGGAAATGCACCCATGCCAAGCCCTGGCTCCTGGGTGCAGCCCTCGCTCTCAGATGGCTGCTTCAACTATCACTGCCTGTGAACTCCAGGCCAGGAGCTCTGACACACCCTGCAGGTTAAGAAACCATGCTCGGTGGAATTCTTTCCAAAGCCCTAGAATCATTCACCTATTTCTAGTGGGTCAGTTCGTTATTAATCATCTGCCTGTTAAGTCTGTGCCACTACTTAAACTTCTGCATGGCTTGCCATTCATTGCTGTTTTATTACATTAATTTTGGACTTACCTTTTTCTCTGTTTTCTGGTTTTTGTGACATAATGAGGCTTTTGATTGCTGATGGGTATACCTAATTCTTGAACACATAGCTGCCTTATCTTGTTTCTTCATCTCCTGCCTTTGACCCAGAATAATAAAGAGTTAGTATTTAGAAAGCTTCATAAAAGTTGAATTTAATTCTCCAGTCAACGTGACAGGAAAATATGTCATCGAGAAACACTATAAGCTGATTTTAAAGTCATGAGGCTGCAAGTCTCTCTTTTCAGTAAAGAAATCAAGGCTCAAAAGGAGGTAATAATAAATTAATTGTGGGCACCTACTAGTTCTGTTACAGGGCACCCCAGTGTGAACTGGGCTGCCTGTCTGTAGGACCTCACCCTGCGCTTAAAATTCAGTTGTACTGTAGGCACATACAAAAGGGTCAATAATGGGTTTATTTACAAAAGGGGAAAAGAAAAGGAAACAACCCAGGAAAAAGAGAGGGATACTATGTAACTGGAATATCTTACCAGCTCTGCTGACTTGGAGCTCTGGTAACAAACTAACTGAAAGTCCCAAGTCACAGGGTCCCAAGAGCCGTTTCTCGTTTCTCCATGGAGAGAGCGCCATAGGAAATGGCGTCCTATTTTATGCCCCAAAGTCCCAGAATGCCTGCTTAATTCTGCCCTTGGGTCCTCGCAGTTCTCTCCCTGGTATTGCTGGGAGTTGTAGTTTCCAATCACTGGAGTAGAGGAGTAGAGTCCGGAAAGCTGGAGTAGAGGGTGCAGTCCACAAAACTCTGTAGAGTTCCTTCAGGATATCCTTCCCCTTAACAGTAATTACATATTGAAAAAGCCTGTTCTGGACAACTTGGTAGAAGCTTATCTGAGTATTTCTTTTTTTGGAGGGGGGAGGAATCTTACCTATATGAATAAGGTAATAATTCATAAAACATATATGATCATACATATACAAGGTTCTATAGCTGTATGAATAGATTCTTCAAGACAGGGCATTACCTTAACTATATTTGGAAAAATATTTTTTTCAAGCATGTAAAAAGCAGAACTTAGATTTGGACCTAGAGCTAACTCCTTAGCTATGAATTTTAACTAGAAATTATTTTATCAATCCATAAATTAAATAAAATTACACACCTGTTAAAAGGCATAAGGGGCATACAACTCATTCATTCTTCCAGACTCATTGTAATTTACCCCAGATTAATTATATCAGGCCACCAGTCTCAGGGCAATATGATTTAGCACCTATCTCCCATCTCTTCCCTCAAACTATTGTGCCTGTGTTGTACTCTGGCCTGTGTCAAGGAATGATTTTTTCTTAAATATGGTGCAGTGGGGTAAAGCACCATATTATGAAGCTCTCTAGAGCCACTGCAGCACCAGTTTGATTCCCCGCCAGGAAGCTGACCCATATGGCATGGCAGATCTCTCCTGACCCACCTGCTGCTCCCCTCAGCAGTGTACTCATTTGTCTGCCTGTTCTGCTCCCTACTTACTCTGGTGAATCTTCTCACCCACCATACCTCTGGCCTGTACCCCAGTTCTGTAAGTAAAAATAAATAAATCTTTAAAATAATAATAATAATGGAATTTCTTATTGCACTTATTCTAAGAGTACTGCAAAAACGGTTCTTAACTGTGTCCTCTTTATAAAGCCATATAGCTTGAAGTTTTCTGTTGTCTATACCAGAAATAGTTGTTCATCTGGTGAGTAATGTTTCCTGTTTTTGTTAATTTTTGAGGACACTATATCACCATTTCTCTCTCTCATCCTGTCGACACTAGGACATTTAAGCCAAGTCTGGAATTTAGTTCTAATTTCAAAAAGGGGATTTGCTATGTTCAATTTATAAATTGCCCTTACTTTTGCTTATTCTTTGATACTCTCCAGGCTCTCTTTTCTAATTTTTTTCTGACATTTTTTATTTCCTTCAAGCATTTGGGAATGCAGGATATAGAATGCATTCAGACAGTATTCCACATAGAAATATGAGGCCACAGCTGGCTTTTACCATTTCCATTTGCAGTGCTGATGGTGGGGAGATGGTGTGGGCTCGACAGCCATATCATTTGGGTTTAAAACCTTCTCTGCCACTTCCAGCTCTGCTATCTTCCAGCCCTCCCTGGTGGCACAGCAGGTTAAAGCACAGCACTGCAAACTAGCCACAGCCACTTCAGTGCAAGTTCCATCCCCGGCCCTGCAGGTGACCCACATGGTGTGGCAGACCTCTCCTGACCCGCCCACTGCTCCCCTCAGCAGTATACTTTGTCTATCTACCTGTTCTGTTCCCCACTCTGTCTCTGAAGAATCCTCTCACTGTTCCTGCTCCTCTGGCCTATAGTTCTGTATACATAAATAAATAAATCATAAAAAACCTATAATATCTAAAACATTAATCATAAAAAAAGTTATGCTATCTTCAGCAAGTTACTTAACCTCTGTGACTGAATTTTCTCAATTGTAAAGATGAAGATATAATAGTGTCACCCTACTTTCCAGTACTGAAAGTATGAAAGCCAGCTAATAAACGAGATTTCGAAGAATGCCTGGCACATGAAATTATAGGTTCTTCTAGCAGAGGAATTAATGGAGCAGTTGCAGTTTTCACTTGAACATATCAAATCAATGAATCTGAATTAATCTTAGGTCCACACATTTTCAGCGTTAAGAATGGTTACTATCAATTAATCTAACTATCCTTTTAGATCAGGAATCTTCTGAAACTCCAAGTAAATAACAACAACAATTATTCAGATAGGGACAAAAATGATCTTTATGACTAATCTAAAACACTAGATTTTGGAAATGTCTGTTTTCAAACATCACTGCCAGTTCTCACTGCTCTCCGATATGTCTTTTTCTTGGTACCATTGTCCCAAATTGACCAAATATACACAAATCTTTGGAAAATAAACTCATTACCTTTTTATACTAAAGACCTTACATCTAAACTCTGAGTAATTATAGTATTAGTTTAGATACTCAGTTTTAAATTTTTAAGAACTCAAATATTTGCTTAAAAACTGAAATTGAGAAATATATAGAGAAATAATAGTAAGGAATGAGAAGCACAAGGAACCAGAAGGTCCATATTCTGGCTTAAGTTCTTTGGCCACTAGAGACCTCCCCACTTACTGTTTCACTCTGTGTTGAAGAACGGGTTGAATGAAATCCTAAGGATAAAATGAATTACCCCCATTATACCTGCAACTATGAAATTACATGAGCACTTTATATTTCTCTGGCAAACTGTTTCCTGACCATTTTGTTGTGTATCAGAAATCTCCATCCAAAAAAAAAAAAAAAGGTAGTTAAGATAGTTATAAGTCTAAGTCACAATGGCTCTGAGTTGGGGAAAGTTATTAGCAATGAAGAAAAGTTTGAGAAGCTCAAAAATTAGAACTAAGAAATAAAATAATATTATTTAGAATTGACATTATAAAAACCATATGGTTTATTTTTTAATGTAAAGGAAGAGAAGCAGAGATGTATTGTAATGCTTAGATTTCAATATTCAATAACAAGAAGTTTCAGCTATTTTATTGGTCCCGAATACAATAATAATTTTTCTACATCCACCTCTAAAGTAAGATCTGCTATATAAAAGAACTTACCAAAATAGAGTTGAGATGTCTATATTATTTTACTTAACAAGGCTTTTAGTTATAAATATGAATCTTTGTCCTTTTGATGCCTGGATATTCCTTTATAAGCATGCATCATTAATTATATTTAATATCCTACATTGATGATCACTCAATTTAGAGTGTTTTTTTTAACCTTATCTATATTTCCTTTGCCACCCCTACCCCCAGCATTTGTATCTATATACTTCCCTAAAGTCTCTAAGTGCAGCAAAAATTACCCCCCCCACCCCCCACCCCCCAAAAAAGCAAATAACAAAATACTTTTGGTCTGGGTGGCTGCTTTGACTTAAATGTCTGGAGTAAATTTTTTTAAGTTGACACTTTACATATGTTAAAAAGTTATTTCTGACTACTATGATGATAAACATGACATGCTACCTCTTTTAGAGAAACTGGAAGCAATAAATTAGGTGACATTTATGAATGCTTTCAAACTGAAAAGCACTGAGTGTTATTTTAACAATAGCTGAAGAAGACATGATTAAGTGTCGTTCCATCCAGAAGCTTATCGGATTATGATGAACAGACTTATACCCTTTAATCCAGAATACTTTAACGGAGTTCATATATCAAACTATGAAAAATATCTATCAACAAAAATACATTCAGTATACCTTGTCTGGCATACAGAGAATCCTGGATATTAAGTATCTACACTTAGGGAGTTAAACCTCACACCAAGGGCTTTGTTTTTCTGTGATCTTTCAAAACTTATCTGAGGAGTGACTAAATTGAGCCAAATGATTTGTCTAAAATAATGATAATGCTTCATGAGAAATGATTTTGACAAGCCAGACTGAGAAATCAATTTGTAACTCCTTGGTAAGTGATAGGTGTGGCTACACATTCTCTCTGCTTTTGTACTAACTCTTTCCTTCAACCAGAATGGCAAGATGCTGTTAGCAAACCAGATGTTAAAGGTTATCACAGATTACAAACCTTCCCTAAGAATATGCATTTTAGGCCCTCCCTGGTGCCTGTACCCCAGTTCTGTATGCACAAATAAATAAATCTTTAACAAAAAAAAAAAAGAATATGCATTTTAAAGAGAATAGGTTTCTGAACAGAGTAGGGGGAAACTGTGTTAGTGACTGCTACTACAGTACAATCATCTGTTTATACATTTGAGAATTTCATGTTTATTTGTGTTCTCAGTGGCTTGAATCAAATGGGTAGGGTAAACATTTGCCTAATTGAGTTGGGGAGGAGTGCAATGTGGAGATGGTTATTCTGAAGAAAAAAAGTGTAGTCAAAACAAATACATGGTCTGGAAAAACACTATGTTTGGGCCATTTTAGAGGTCCACCACTAATTTTACTTCTTTTATCATCAGGTGTTTAAAGTATAAAGATCAATATCCTCATGACTGGTATATCTGGTAAGATCGACCTCTATTTTTATTTTAATAAAAAAAAATTGGTGAAATACTCCTTTTCTTAAATAGTTGAGAGACACATGGAGTTTATCAACTTAAGGAAATTTTAGGAGTTAAGTGAATCAAGGTATGCAGATGTAACTTTCAGGTTGTTGGACAGTGTTAAACACTTCTTGAGGTGAGGAACTTACTATTTTGAAGAATAAACATTTATTCCTGGGTTGGAGATCTTTAGCAGTAAAATAATTGTTCTTTCCCTTGAAATCTCCCTAGATGATTACTCCACTTATTTCAGTTTTGACTTTAACTGCCATTCAAAATAATACTGCTTTCTCCTTGAAGAATTAGTCCTTCAAAAATTTAATAGTGTTGTTAATAACTTATCAGGTTTTGACTTCTTTCATCTCTCAACATTACCTGCTCTCTCAATTAGGTGGTTAACTTCTCAAAGACAGAAACACTTTGTTGTCTTCCTTTGAATCCCCAACCATGATACCTAAAATTTATTCAGTGGCTTAATTGAATGAAAGGAATAATGGGTGGATGAGCTAAGAAATCAAGACATTTCTCCTTTAGAAACTCCTAATTTCCAAAGAAGAAATGATTATCATCTTACAAGTTGGACCCACTCTAATATCATTGAATTATGCCTGGTTTAGTGGACGTAAGTGGTGGTCCCAGATTGAATAAGGAATCCAGATTGCTATAGTCTTGCTGAGTTCTTTCTCCCTTTCCAGAATGTTGGGAGAACTCTTAATTTGCCTGCATGCCCCACCTCACACTTCTTCTGCTTCTTCTGGTGTCAGGTTCTTGCTACTAATTTGCTTAGTGGCTCTCCTCTTTGGAGTAGTGCTCTTCTGCTTCCAGTGCTGGCTGAGACCCCAAGTTGGTTCCCCAAGACGAACTATGGCTGTTTTTGCAGTTGGAGACTTGGACCCTGTTTCTGGTAAGCTGTCTATACACTTCTGGGTTTCTTCTTTGAACCCCTATGACTACCAATGAGAAGAATATTTCTGGCTATAGGATAAAACATAATTCACTGGACACTCAAAGGCATGTATTGAGTATATGAGAAAAGTTCAGAAGACTCCAAAAGAAGAAAAAAATGTGTCTTGGGGAAGTGACTCAAAGTTGACTATGGAAATGAAACTAAACATTTTGCTCAGTACACAAGCAGAAGAGAAGAGATACACAGGGCAGGTCCTTCTGCGTGTGTGGTCAGGTTTAAGGTGCAGAACGACCTCTCAGCTTTTGGTATCTGTCCTGTGTTCAGAGCTTCACATATCTGCATTGACACTGAACCACACTTTCCAGATTCCTGCCAGTGCAGAGCCCAAAATAATGAGTTGGTTGGGGGAGTGTCAGTGCTCATTTCCTTTCTCCCCAAACACACAAGTAGCATCTTGATCCTGCCTGATCCCAACCCCCACTCCCCAAATCACATTCTTCCTGTTATTTTCCAGTCTGCATTGGGAGGTAGGGAATTGAGGGAATTGAGATCATAGTTACTTGTGATTTTGAGCCTTAGCTCTAAGTGGAAAAGCAATTACATTGATTTTAGAGACTTCACTATTGATAGTTCACGCCTTGGTAAAACTGTTCCCACCCAGACCACCTCTCAGGAGACTTTCCCTCTAAGGTACCATGCAGTGCACCACATTTACTTCAAGTGTCCATGGCAGAGATAATCAACTGCACTTCAGAACTTAGACCAGGAAAAGCTTTCAATCTGTGGTACTGGGCTTGTCCTTCAGAAACTAACAATTAAAGGAAATAAAGGGTAAAAACTGAACTAAAATGCTTTAAAATAAAAATTCGGTTCTCAGAGACTTAGTGGTAATTTTTGCTATTGGCTTTTTTTGTAAGTTACTATTTAACAAGGGAAGGACATTGTTCATTTGAGATTTTTTTTTTTAGGGGGATAGATAAATATCTAAAAACACTTTCCACTTAGCACAGAGGTTAGTAGGTCATTGACCTTCTAAAAAATTATATTAACCCAAAGGGGCTAACATGGTTACAAGTGGTCTACTTTTTTCTTTATTTAAATAGATTTATTAATAAATAAATGCAATCATGTTTCTTCCAACTTCATTTGCGATTCTAAAGGCAATAACACAGACTATTTTCTTAGCCTTTCACTAACTCTTACGAAGATTCTTTTACTAGTCTACTTTGTATATGTGTGTGTGTTTTAATCTGCTTTTAATTGTAAATAAGAAAGCTAGCCAGTTATACTGTTAAAATTTAAGTGAATTTATGTGCCACAGTTATATTACTATTTATCTAATGCTTCTACATTATATGATGGTGGTTTATATATTTGCTTTGGAATTTTTCTGAACTTAGCAGGACAGGAATGACCATCAGTGGATGTCAAGGCTGACATATACTTCAATAATCTGTGTACAATAATGAGTACAGGGCATTAGAATCACATTATCTGGCCTCCCTGGTGGCATCAGGGTTCAGTCATAATGCTATCACCACTATGCCCTGAGTTCTATCCCCAGCCAGTGAGCTAGCCCACATGGTCAGCAGACCTCTCCTGTCTCTCCCACTGCTCTCCTTAGAGAGATCTAAGATCTGCCTGTTCTGCTCCCCACTCTGTCTCTGGTGAATCCTGTACCTCTGGCCACCACCCCATTTCTTTTATGCATAAATAAATAAAAATAAATCACATTCTCTCTACACTGAATTCAGTATGGACAAGAAAAGAAAATACTTGGGAAGAAATAGATTTTTAACAAAATATATAGTCACTATTATTTCACAAATACCAAATGTTAACTTTAATTTTTTAACAAAATAATACAGCGAACAATTTATTTCATATCTACTATGTACCATAGGTCAGGAGCTTCTAAGATACTATCTCGCCTTCCAAAATATCAATTCAGAAAGGTGGCTAGTATTTCTCCTAGAGGATGTTGTCTACTTTTTTCATTCTACTAAATTTATATAGTGCATAAATCTTTTCGGAATGTCAATAACGTCCAGAATTGAGGTTAGGGAGACAATAAAATTGTGGGCTGGACACTTATGGCTAAATCACCTTGTCTCCAAACATAAGTGCAGCCTCAGACATTTCCATAAAAATAGGATTTGCTCTCCAGAAACTTCATTTCTGATCTCTCTCTCTCTCGATCTTATTTTGCTCAAGAAGCATTTCAGCTTAAGTTGTATTACAAACTTTTCTCCTACAGATTTCTATCACGGAGATCATAGGTTCATTTTTTTTCTCTCTCTCTCCTACACTGAGTTTTGCATTAGTTTTTCCCACCTGTGCACATCGCCCATCTTGTCTCAGCATGGCTCAGGATGATTGGACAGCAAGTGAGCATAGTCTGATGAGGAGGTGGCCTCCAGAGTTGTGTTTCTTTCTGAAAAACAGAGTCATTAAGAAGTGGTATTCTTTGTGACTTCTAGTCACTTCTTCTTAACATTTTTGGATGTAAATTCAGAGAATAATATTTTAAACCAATCTGAAATCAGACCCACACTAGGTTCCCTTCTTCTATTGGGTCTCCATTAGATTTTTACTTCTCCCAACATATGGGTTTTTCCTCCCTAATATTTGCATGAAATGAGTTGCTGTCCATAAGGAAAATGAAGAAAGCACCATAGGATTTTTTTTTTTTATGGTGAGTGGGAGGTAAGGATGAAAACTACAAATTCTACTTCCACAGCCCCACAATTTTAATGCTTTTACTCACAGCATTTTAATGCTCACAGCATAGAGTCACGTCCAGCTACTGCAGGTCTCATGTGTCTACATACCAAATTATGGGGTTGCATTTCCTAAGCACCTTTGGAGGGGGGGGAGGAAAATGAGCATTCACTTGAAAGACATTGGTGACATAAGTGAAATGCTCTAAAATGTTCTGGGGGTGAACCCTCCTTGCTCTAAGAGATAAAAGAGCAATATCGTCTGCAAAGGGGTGAAGTTTGAGAAGGTGAGCAAAATCTACTGCCTGTGGGTAAAGAAAGTCTTTTTAGCCTCCGCTAATGACCATGGAGCCAGTTTAAGATTTAATCAGTGAGTCCTCAATCTCTGTATCTCCACAGATCATTCTTTAGAGAGGAAAACTTTGAATCGTAGCATTGTCTTTCTCTGTACATAGATAGCATCAATATAACTTTAGGTCAAAATAAATCAGAACTAGAGGCCTGTCAAGAATAATTATAATTTTAATGTCAATGATTTACTGTTCTTACTTATATAAAATAAATTCAAACTCATATTTGTTGAAGTTCTCACAGAATATAATCTGTCAGACAGCTTTCTGGGTTCAGATCCTTACTTTGATTCTGATAAATTCTTAGTCTAGCTATAATTGAGAATTTTATTCAAATTAGAATATGAAATAGGTTTTCTAGACTCCTGGCCACTTTATGTGTGCAAAAGGGAAGATAGGATTTCTTATAGGAAATGGGTCATTAAAACACTTAAAAGAGGAGATGAGATTTGATATTAACCTTCGCTTCCTCCTCATACTTCATTTTATTTCTTCAGAAATTACTTCACATTATTACAACTATTTGGAAAGTAACTTAGTTGAAATTGTTCTGCTCTTCTGATCTGTGGGTCTGATATTTTACTCTGAGGATCCCACAGAAATTGCCCTCAGTTGAAAAGAACTAAGAGAGGAATTGTGACTTTTTATCAGATGCTAGAGTGGATTAAACTTTACAGATGTTAGAATCTATGAAAACAGGAAATTTCTCATTAGCAGTTACCAACAAGATTATTTAACTCAGATTTTGATTATCTTACTAGAAATATTAAAGAGAGAATGGAGAACACTTGCCTTGAGGACATCATAAAAGGAGTTTAGGGAAGGCCTTTCCAGACCAATGAATTGCAGCAGCTGATGTGATTTTTATCTGGAAAGGGCATTAGGTAACTCAGACAAACCCCTGGGGCCTGTTGCATCATGTCCTTTAACAGTTTTCAGCTGACTGATTGCTCATATTTCTCAATTTTTCTCCCCTCTCATAAAATATATGTTTTCATGTCCATACTATGATGTGATGAAACACTTTGCTCATCAAAAATGAAGACATAATCCCTATGATGCCCTTTTGGAAGATAGAGGGGGAGGAGAGGAATTGCACAAAAGAAAAAGGAAACAAGAAAGGCAAGGAGGTGCATCAAGAGGAGAAGGAAGAAAGCAAGAGAAGGAAATGACAGTTTGAAATTGGAAATATAGTAAGGATTGAAATTAAAACATACTTTTTTTACAGAAGCCCCAAATCAATTTTTTTTTTTTGCTTCAGATCCACCACCTTTTCCTGGACCCAGCCCCATGGTTTTCCTGCATAATCCTTTCTCACTTAATTATTCTGACCCAACCCTGATTCACTTCTGGATTCACAGCTTTCTTTTAACATCTCTGCTATATAGATCCCAAAAAGTGATCCCAAATTAACTGGGTGATATTGCTTGAGTTCAGAAAGTCAGACTTTGAACTGCAAGGTTGTTTCCATAAAGGAAACCCTTTATTAATGTGTGAAGCCACCATAGGGGAAAAAGTATTTTAAAGAAACCTTCAATTGGTGACTGAAGGGAGATCACATAGGAAAGATAGAATAAACTTGAGGATATGTCAGGCATGGGGAGGGTTTCTTCAATCTCAGGTCTGGGAAGATTATCAGTGGCTTTCCTCTTTCCTGAAATAGTTGCTGTCTTCTGTGTAATCAGTTTTAAAATATCTGAAATCATTCATCTGACACTGATGTTATCTGCATCCTCAGAATGAACAACATATTTCTTTAAGCATTAAGCAACCTCTTACCATAACCAAAGAATGAAGTACATTCTAAGCATAATTCAGGGGAGATGTTCTCAGCACGTATGTTAGAGATAAAAAAAAGTGTCAATATTTTCTTATCTAATTTCCTATTTTAATGGAATCTTTGCAACTACTTCATTCAACTCTAAATGAAGGAAATTTTCAACCAGTTTTTTTCTTCTTCCTCAAGTGTGTAAATAGTGAGGGCATATGTTGGACCACATGAAGTGATTTTGAAAAACAATATACGCAAATTGTCAGTAATGGTGGAAAAAGAAGAAAAATAAAATCATTAAAACTCTCCAACTCCATCTATATCCCAAATCAGGATAAGTTGCCTCTCTCTTTATAATCCCAAGGAATTTGAAGACAGAGTGAAAAGATAGAAATACCAGAATAACAGAATATTTGTTAGTTAGTTGTTTTATTTATTTTCTTCATTTAAAAATAATTGATGTCACTAGAGTTTAGAATTATATTATTAAAATATTTTTTAAAACTAAATAAAAATAAGTTTTCATTGAAAATAATTACTTTTTAATGAGTAAGACAGATATTTAGAGGTAATGAAGAGAAAGAAGTTTGGAAGTTAGAAGGTGAGAGTGGGTCAAAGAGCTTAAGGTAGAAAAAGAATTGTCTTACTTATTAGGAAAGAGAATTTGAGATCATAGGCAAGGGACACACATTTTATCTGTACATATTTTAATGATAAAATAATAGATTACTATAAAATCAAATTGAATCTTTTCCTCTCTATCTCATATAAATCCAAGTTGGGTGCCCTCAATTATTGATAAGACAGAAAGCAGGTCAGTGCTTTTCCAGGGATGACAGGGAGATGAGAGCCCATGGAGACACCCTTGCTGGGATGCTCCTCCATCTTGGCTGATCTCCCCAGATCTGATCTCCCTGATAAAGTTGCCTTTCAACTATCCAATCACTCTGACCCTGTTTCTACCACAATTTCAGAGATAACCTTTCCTTTTTCTTATTGCAGGGCAAGTAGAAAAGATAGTCATCTAACAGTGATTAAATGTGAGTGGTCTGATTTGGGGTCAACTGGACTGAAAATGACAAGGAGCAGCCCTTACTAGCTCTCCTCCTACCTCTTCCAAGATCCTGCTCATTTTAGGATACTTTTGAAATGCTATTTTCCAAAACTTTGTGTGGTACATGTAAATGTTCTGTGACTCATTTTAGATTAGAAAAGTGAATATATTTCATTTACATATTTTTATAGAAGAGCAAGGTAATAGTAATGATTGCTACCTTTGAGCCATGCTCTGTGCTAACAGTTGACATTTCTAATCTCATTAATCCTTCCATACAATTCGAAGAGGGGTTCACTATCATTCTTAACACTAAAGATAAGGACATCAAGGCATGTAGAGGTTAAAAAACATGAGTAATAGATACTGGAGCTGTGACTCAAAATCAGGCTTTCTTAGCCACTCTCGTCTAAGAGAAAGGGATGAGACAGAGAAATATAATGCTAAAATAACCAATTCCATGGGAGTGATTCTTAATGTGGGAAATAATATGTTTATAAAAGCTCAATAGTAACTGTAATGGGTTTACAACATTTAATAAAAACTTTGATGTCTTCACTGAGAATTATAAATTTATAAATTTTAAATTTTTGCTATAAATTTATAAATTATAAATTTTTAATTACATTCTTTTGAGGCTCTTCATATATCAAAAAGTAAAATAATTCCTGCTCATCTTCCCATGACATGATATTTTATATAAATATGCTTTGAAAAAATTGAAAACTGATATATTGTTGCCTGACTTTGGGTCATCACCAGTGTGCTTAAGATTCAACTGCAGGGCCCTTCCTGGTGGCACAATGGGTTAAAGCACAGCACAATGAAGCTATCACATCCACTGCAGCACGGCCAGGAAGGTGACCTGCATGGCGTGGCAGACATCTCCTGACTTGCCTGCTGCTCCCCTCAGCAGTGTACTTCATCAGTCTGCCTGTTCTGCTCCCCACTCTGTCTCTGGTGAACCCTCTCATCCCCCCACACCTCTAGCCTGTACCCAAGTTCCTTATGTATAAATTAATAAATCTTAAAAAAAAAAAAAGATTCAACTGCAGACACACAGAAAAGTTTGATAACTTTTTTTTTTAACAAGAGAAATGAATAACTCAGGGAAAGAGGGAGAAAGAGAGTTAAGTTGATTAATGTGTCCTATCAGTTCTGCTGGTCTGGAAACCCAATAGCACACTGATAAACCAGTGAAGAGCCAAGAGAGAAGACACAAGCCAGGAGGCCAATAAAACCCCGGGACCCACATGTCTTGTTTTTTATCCAAACCTGGTTGCTTAACTGTTCCCTCAAGTCTCCATACACTTCTCTTTGGTCTTACTGGAATTTATAGTTCAGTGTCTGGGGGGGGAGGGAGGGGTGGAGTCCACAAAACCTGTATCTGTAGATATCCTTTCCCTCTTACAGTATCTTCAATTTTACAAAAGCTCCTGAAACCATTGACTTCATTATGCTTATTAAATAAATGCTTTGTGAATTCCATACTAAGTTTAAGTGCATTGGCTAAATTTGTAGTCAGAGAATAATAATAAGAAGTTCCTAACACAGAGAGCAGGTGTCAATACCATATTATGAAGCACAACATTGATAATGGTCATGGAGGAACTAAATTTGAGCTAAGAATTGTTTTGAGTCAATCTGGTAGACTGCTTCAGAAAGAATGATAGCTAAGTTACCATTGACTATGTAGTCAATACACTAGGAGCAGCTCATATAGAAAACAATCAGCATTTAGTATATCTATTAGAGAGGAAAAGGTACAGGTACAGTTATGTATGAGGCAGGTATGAACTGCCAGTTTTAATTTTGTCTAAGTCCTACAGTCTTATCTATGTTATCCTAAACTTCCTAACTGCAAAGCACTTTCGCTCTCATAATGTTGATAATAATTAAGTTTTTGTTTGACCATTGCAATAAAGTAGACTGGGAAACACTACTGAAAGGAGAAAGAAAATAAAAAGAAGTAAAATAAAATGCATGCATATTCCTAGAGAAAAACAATTCTTGTTATGCCATAATGAGAATAATGATAATGATAATAAACCTTTAATGACTGCTGTATACCTGGCCTTGTTTTAAGCACTTTACATTAATTTTGCTGCTTTCATATATGCTTATACTAGCATTATCCTTGTATTGTAAAAGAGAAAAGTAAGGCACAGAAACATTAATCAATTAGAATAGTATTTAATTAGATAAATAACTGAGAAAAGTGCTGAAATAGGTGAGACATAGACTAAACACAATTTTATCCTTCAATTATTGTATCAGTATTTAAATTACTATTCTTTGTTCTGAAAAATCAATGATGTAATAAATTAGAAAAAATACAAATCTATAAAAATCCATGATTCTAAACAAATCATGCAAGTTATTCACTGGAATAACATATACAGCTTTTGTACTTTTTTTTTGACAATTGTGGCAAGTTCTTTAGAATCCTCACGATGGTATCAAAATCTTATAGCTTTTAATAAGAGGTCAGGAAACATTTTATACTAACGCATGTAGGACATATATTTGACTTTGCATGCCATCAAATCTCTGTGAGGATTACTTATTATGTGATTATCACAAAACACAGCCAGAGATAATATGTAAATGAAGTGGTATGATTAATTTCAAATTAAATTTAACACACAAAAAGAGCTAAAGGTCCAGATTACTTCAAAATCTGGTTTCTTCTATAAAGATGAATTTATGGCTGTTACTATTGTTTTTTTGTTTTTGTTTTGGGTGAAAGCAATCAAAATACTCCCAAACACCTAAAGAAATGGATGACATAAAGAAAAAATATGAAGAGATATTGGTATAAAATATTACTGTGAATTTCTTCTATGATTCAAAAATAGTCTTTAAAGAAATTCTAAAAGAATTCTAAAAGAACTATTGGAATAAATTCAAAGTCTTTCAAAGTGATCAGTTTGAAGTAGAAGTGCTTATAAAACATTTTTAATGGGTAATGGAGTGCATAATCTAAAAGTCAAGAACTTTGATTTCAAAGCATTATTTTAAATTTGAGAAAGACTGCTATTATTATGTGTGTAATTTAAATACAAACCTCACAACTTAGCATTTTTACTACTCATCTTAAAGAAATATTTAAAATAATTAATTATACCAGTTATGGTTTGCAAGCATAAATATAAAATAATGAAGTTCAGAAGTAATATTTCAATGATTCTGGTGAGACTTGCATTTCTCATGATAGAAACATTATTTAAAATGTCTTCTGTACTTACAGGAATCTTGTCTTCTGATCTACCAAAAAGTGTATTTCTTCTAGTTTCAGCTGCTAAATTGTAAATGTTTCTTGATGGATTTAGCAGTGATATAATCAGTTCCTAAGCACAAATTTTCTCTCAGTAGTGACTAAACTATCACCACAGACAGCAAGGTGGCTGTAAATTTTTTTAAGGGTACAAATAAATTTTTTGTTGCTCCAGCGATTCAAGAAATGGCAGATTTTATTAGGCACTTCATGTATTTCTGTTTTATGCTGACTAGAAAGATTACAAGTCTCTATCTTTCTCTTTCCAGGAATGGAAACAGCTGTGAGCCCAACTGTTGGAATTCACCTTCAAACTCAAAACCCTGAACAATATCATGTCCCATGTCATATAACATTAGGTCCTCCACCTCCATATGAAGAAACTCTAAAATCAACACAATTTTGAGTCAGCAACTGGACAATATTAGAAAGACTCTAAATTTAAAAGCATCAAATTTAAAAATCATTACTTCATTCAGTAGAAAATTCCAGAGATCAACTAATAAAGTAAAAAAAATGAGAAATAGACACAATAATGCATGCAGAAAAATAATTTTGGTCATAAAATCTGGCATAGTAAGCTAGCAAACTCATTGTCTCAACTGTGTTATATTTTTATATAATATAAGTAATTTAACTAACTTAATTTTTCTCCACTAGAGGTATTTCCTGTTCAATTTTGGTTTCCACACCAGTGCACATCACCTAATTCTCTGCCTCAATATCTCTGTTTTAATAGAGTCAATAAAAATTATCATAATTCAATAGTGACTGAAGCACTTTCAAACAGGCCTAGAAACTGATCAGGAGAAAATATGGAATGTAGGTGACAAGAAAGAGTAGGAAGAAAGAACATTTGGAGTTGAAGCATAATAAAATAATGAAGAAGATAGCAAATCAGTGTCCTGGGAGTTGTATGTCTCAGTCTGAGGAGAAAGAGGTATAAATAGAAGCTGAAGAACATTACTTAAAATGTGGGACACCTGTACTGCCACAATATGAAGAAGAAGAAGGTTCTCTTTTGATGTGGGTGAATGTGGATTCAGAGCCCACAGCCCTTCTCTCTTGCCTCAGACTTGGTATTTTTTGGAGAACCATAGTCAGAACCCTCGGCATAGAGATGTCAGTGTTCTCAGTGACAACTCTAGTAGTCGTGAAACACTATCAAATGCCATTTTTCAGTGACCATGAAAAAAAGAAAATGGATCAGGAACCTACCACAGCATGTAAGGTGTCTAATAATCCCAGACTTGTGCATAGGACTTTAGGGTACTTGGAATTAATTCTCATAGCAATTTGGTGACCTGACTGTTCCTAAATTTAAGATACAGACATATATAACCAAACATATCCACCCTCTTCTGAAACCCACTAAAATTCAAGAAAAGGAATGAAAGTTTTTATAGTTCACAGACCAAAAGAATGACAGAAATTTGACAAGATGATGAGTCAAGATTTTAAAACATGGAAAGATGGGTATATATGATATAGATGAATAAGTTACTTTTGAGTGGGATTTCAAGTTTTTCCACCTTGTTAAGTGCCTTTAGAAGAAACTTTGATCAAGCAAAACATGCTTTAACAATTCAGAAATGTCCAAGAATTATGACAGGAGACATGAGAAATGGTGGATATATCCATGAACTTGTTCTACAGGAAAATAGTGTTAAAATAACCCAGAGAAAAGCCGGTTCTAGTCAGAACATGGCATCAAAGAGCCTCAGAAGGAAGAGAGATGATTAAGGAAAAGTACATAAAAAAAAAAGAAGTGATAAATTAACAATTGGCAAATGGGAAATGAAGAAACTGAAAAGATTAGGCAATTATAATTATGAAAAACAAAACTGAATTAACTTCTTAAAATGTTTAAGATATAAATTTTGTAAATAGTTAATATTAAGTTTTAAAATGTGCATTATTCATATTGACAAATGAAGCAGAGGGGAAAGTATATTCAGGGGAAGTGAGCAGTATATAATAAAAAGTCAAATCCTAATATTAGATTATGGGAAGTCAATGAATGGCAACTGAAATTAAATTTTTTTTCAAGAAATAAGTGATAGTTCATTTGTAAATTAGACATTATAACAATATATATATTATTATATATGAAACAAGACACCAAAAGTTGGAAGCTATTGTCTCAAGAAATGGATATATATATATATATATATACACACACACACACTCTATGCACATATAACACACACACATATGTAGATGTATAAATCACTGTCTTCATTTAACAAATTAAAATTTGCATAGCTAATTAGTATGGGAGGCAAAACTAGATACTAAGTATGTTAACATTTTAATTCCTATTCCAGGTATTCTATCCACTGTAATCTTCTATCTCCAAAGGGTTCTATAGAAACAAACATCAGCAGATGTAGGTCATAATTATATCAGTCTCAAATAAGTAACTGCAAAGAAAGAGTTTTTGTTCATATCCTATAGGCAATGTGTGCTAAAATCCATTCCAGTTGCACAACAGACAGTGGTTATAATTAACACCTAAAGAAGTGTAAGCACATCTGGACACAAGGGAATGTTTCCGCAGCTGGAATTTGCCAAAGACATACATGAAACTCAGGACTGAAGAGATTAGAATTTATTTTTAAGTGACTTGCATTAGTGTCAGTGCAAACTTAACCACAGCATACTTGGTGTGTATCTTCAGTTGGTTTATTTTGGATAAGGGAAGAAGTGTGGAAATAAGATGTAGACAGGAGGATAGAGATGGTAGAAAAAGTTAATTTTCATAGAAATTTTTCTAATAAAATCTCTTAAACTTTCATTTAAAAATACTTACTGGCCCTCATGAGTTCGATTACCGCCTACCCCGGAGGTGACCACATGGCGTGGCAGACCTCTCCTGACCCCCTGCTACTCCCCTCAGCAGTGTGCTTCCTCGAGCTGCATGTTCTGCTCCCCACTCTGTCGCTGGTGAAGCCTCTTGCCGCCCCTGAGCCTCTGGCCTGTACCCCAGTTCTGTATGAATAAATAAATCTTTAAAAATAATAATAATAATACTTACTGGCCCTCCCTGGTGGCGCAGTGGGTTAAAGCACTGCACTAAGAAGCTTAAGCCAGTTCCGCATGAGTTCGATCCCCACCTGCCCCGGAAACTCCCGAGGAGATCCACATGGTGTGGCAGACCTCTCCTGACCCGCCAGCTGCTCCCCTCAGCAGTGTAGTGCGTCGATCTGCCTGTTCTGCTCCCCACTCTGTTCCTGGTGAATCCTCTCACCCTCCGGATCTCTGGCCTGTACCCCACTTCTGTATGAATAAATAAATAAATCTTTAAAAAATACTTACTGAATTATTTGAATTTAATGTTATGTGGACTATATGAATTATATAACTATTGTACAAGTTTCTGTATATATTTCTCCAACACACACTATTAGTATTATTACTAATGATACTAGAGTTTCACCAGATTTTCATGTGAATGCTTAATGGAAAACTGTTGTGACCTTCAGACATTTAAAAGTTCTGTAGTAGGTGCTCTTCGATGTCCATTGAAAACTACTGCAAATAACAAAATAATAAGACTAATTTGGATTATATGATTAATGTGACATTTTGAAAAATTAAAAAGAAAAACCAGTATTTCCCTTCTGTCATCTTATCTTTGAGCACCTGCATCCTAGTTCACTGATAAGTCATTACGATTTCATTTAAGCTGTTATCTCAGATTTTATTGTATTTTTTTGGTTGCCTCTATAGACTTTCTAGTAGTCCTAATCCAACAACAGTAAAAAGGGACTTACGAGCTCCAGGCCTACACCGTTTGCCACCACAGCAAAAAGCAAGACACAGATTTCAATTTTGAAATGAATGGATTTGTTTCTTTCCCACGTTAAAGAATGTTCACTTAAAAAAATATTAAGGTAGCATAGTTTGCATCATTGTTTGTGTATTAGAAACACAGACTCTCCCTCCTCAGCATACTACTCACACCCCTGGAATACCTTAGTCCCTCATCGAAGTCCATAATGCTCCCACTCCACCTTGCCCTCATTTTTAAATGAGGTTTTTCTTACTGCTAAAAGGTGTAGATTTTTCTTTGAGCATCCAGCAGAGGGCATGAAAGCCTATGTATGACTCCAGCACATTAGATTTGACTTAATGGCAAAATAAAAGTATGAGCTAGGTTGCTATTGATATCAAATTTTTGACAGACCTGAGCAGAATGGAATAATAACGCGGTTCAAATTTGCAAAGTCTGATACTTTAGTTCATATTTCTCATAAAGAGGCCGACACCACATGAGATGCCTGTCTTGGGGAGAGTACATTTGCAATGTACCCCCACTTCCGAGGATGAGATCGATGAGTTTGAGCTGCAAATTTGTGTGTATGCTGCTCACGTAGTAGGTAACATCTAGCGCTGACCCTGTAGGTCTAGCCTATTTTTTACCTGACCACACGTTCCCCTTTAATTTTCAGTATTGTAGTTTCAAGTTTGTTTCATGTGTGTTAGAAGCACAACTTTTATAAAAGACAACTTTAAAATTCAATATCTTCCACAGAAATGAAATAGAGCTGAGATAGAACTGAGCAGCATCATGTGGACAATGAAATGAAACCAATGAGAATATTGTATTTAAGGCAAAATGTGCAATACTTCAGAATTGTATAAGAGAAAATGAGACAATGAAAATGTGTTGGCTTGAGACCCCACTTTTGATATAGAATGGTTATTTTAAAATCACAACAAAGAAGTGAAATAGACTATACTTTCCAAAGGAATCTTTTAAATTCATTTTACTTTGTGATTTTGTACAAAATTACTACATACGGACCTCTTTTTCCTATTTAATACTATATCCTGAAAATAGCATTTTTTTTTGTTATTTCACCAACTGTAGTTCTAGGAAAATGAAGTAAAAGTAATGTTCCTTTATATAATGAAATAGTTTGATGATGAAAAATGTCATATATATCTTTTTGGAAAAGAGTTACATTTTCCTTCTAACATTATATGACTACACCTATTGTCTGATTGATGAAGCAAATATTTATCAATCAAGATATATTTTTATATTAAGACGATGAGAAAAGTTTTATTTAGAAGCACTGAAATTATCAATAAATGCAGGTTGTTTGATTTTTATTAATTGTTAAGGGAAGTTTCCTCTTAGAAAATTCTGTTTGCGAGTACAATAAGCAAAACTAATATAATTTCATTTTCTAATAATTAATATGTTTTGTCTCTCTTTACATTAATGTTATTTCCTAAATCAGATACGAAAACTGAAGTCATGTATCAGCTCAGATTATATTCTCTTTATTGTAACCAAATTTGTGTAAATAAATAATGTTAAAGAGTCTTCGCTATTACTGATTGTCATCTAGATTTAAAGGGACTGGAGGTATTACTTTTTGCTGGAAGAATACT